TAGGTCTATGGACTGTACTACTACTTCGTCCATTCAATTGTGAACCCATTAATGGATTCATCCCTTGATGAGATCAGAGCCCTCCTGATCAAGTCTCTTCTCCAAAGTTCTCGGAACATTCCTGCATTTAAAACCCAGCCTCTAGCACATGAGATTTGAGGGGAGTGGGATTCCAGACCCACACTACAGCCCCTGGACAATGAACTGTGACCAGAATCGGTGTCAATAGTTCCCGGGTCATGTTGCTCAGAGAAATATCAATGTAGCAGCTCTTTTCTTTGTCTTTTCCTGCATGTTGACAATTGATCACCACACACTGTACTGCCAGGACTTCTGGCCCAGAAATTCTACATCAGCAGGTTCAATTCACCCTGCAGAGGGTTGAATTGTGGTTACAACAGACACATGCACATCCTAATCCTTCAAACCTCTGAACTGGGACTTGGTTGGATAAGCACCTTTGCAGATGTGTTTAAGAATCTAGGAAGAAGGTCACACTGGCTTACTGAGTCAATCCTAAATTGTATGACAAAGACCCTTAAAAGAGACACATGGAGGAGAGATAGAGAGAGATGAGGAAACACTATGAGGGGAAGGAGGCAGAGCCTGGGCCTCTGCAGCCACCACTAAGGAGTTCCGGGAGCCTTGAGCAGCTGGCAGAAGCAAAGGAGGATCCCCCAAGTCTTCAGATGGACTGGAAGTTGGTATTAGGTGGATAAACAGGAGAAACTACGTACTATATGTGCTACTCGAGAAGAAGAGATTAAAGGGGAAAAGTTAAAGAAACTATTTGGATGTTTTTTAAAAGTCAAAATATCTTACATCAATGACAATAATGATTATATTCTGTAGAAAACAGGAATGTTGAGGGTTTTTGGATCTTTATGACTTTTCAAAGCCTAATGCCTTTTTATTTCACATCAAGCTGAAAGTGAACACTCATGTGTGGCATGGTCTTTTACTTATAATTCTCATTTTTCATAAACACAGTTCATCTAACTATACTTATTTAGTCTCTTCGTTTGTTCTTTAAGATCATAACCATCTGAAAAACGTTTGGGAGAGTTATAACAGAAGACAAAGATAATCTTAAAATAGAATATTAGAAGGTGATTATGGAGATAATTATATTAAGAATCTTACTACCAAACTCCTACAAGAATTTATATTTTACATCTGTGCCTACAGGAAATAGAACATGATAGATATACATTTTATAGCTATGAAATGTAACAGTAGGGCCCTCCCAGTCCTGGCTATGAGGATATTCTCCTCCTACTTCATCAGTAGTAGCCTTAAACTCTTAAATCTCTCAAACATTCTGCAGAAGAACAACTGCTAATCAGATTGTGCTATCCTCATGAGATATAATGTGGCATAATGTTCGACATAAAATAGTATGAATGAGCATCATGGAAAGTCATGATGAGCAAAACAGTACCCTCAGAAGAGTACATGCATTTTGGTATCCATTTACGTGCAGTTCAAGAACAGGTGAAGCTCCTTAATTGCAGTTGTCCATGAGAGTGAGGGTTGACTGGAGTTTTCTGAGAATGGTGGGCCAGTGTTGTGCTCTCACTGGGTTGCTGATTGCATGGTCATATAATTTGGTCAAACTCAGAATCTGCACATTTAAATCACGGGTACTTCATTGTATGTAAATTTTCCCCTTATTTAAATTAGAAAAATAAAATATCTATTTTGTCCACTTATGCTGTGTGCTTATGACAAAACCTAGCTCTTTCTAAATGTCAGAGGCTCTGGTGAAGAAGTAGAAGCACCTTCCCAGAAGCCTGCAGCTTGTGGTGGACTTTGATGCAGAGGCCCTGCTCAGAGATTCTAGATGAATGAAAGTTTAGCGTATCTCACTCATAAATCAGCTTTGTTTGGAAAGGAAACAACTCAGTAGTAAGATTTTTCCTGGTGAGCCTCTGAAGCATTATTAGAAGCAGATATGTGGGTACAAAGTTGACTCTTAGTTAATAAGATAGGAAGAAACAGATTTGTAATCATTCCCTGAATAGCCTTTTAGCTCTGTATGATGTGGCTGGGCACAAAATTTCTCAGAAATAAGCCTTCAAACTGCTTTGTGCCAAAATCTTTATTGTTTTATATTCTGATTATTCTTATATTGGGCTTTTGCCCCCTCTAGAGATGCAAAGAGGAAAAATGCCTTTGATGCTGGATAGCTCTAAGACTAAAGTCTACCTTCCCTCTGTACCAACTGTAAAACCCTGGAAAAATCACTCAGCCATTTCAAGCCTCAGTTACCTAGTGTCTAAAATAAATATAAAACTCTATCTTATTATGTAATTGTGTATTGTTAGTAATCATATCATGTGTATAAAGCATCAAAATGATAATATTTCCAGTTTTTGAGTGTAAGATATATGCATTTTCTAATTGTCTCAGCTGTAATATTAATAAAATATTAATATTAACAAACTCATGTAATTTTAAATTTCCTGTTATCCAAATTTAGAAACTATTTAAAGATAAATATAATAAATATAAATATATTAACATATTGTAACCTTACACAAAAGACTATTTCAATGTGTAATAGATATAAAATTATTAATGAGATATTATACATACATTCTTTTTTTTTTAACCAGGTCTTTGGAATAAGCTGTTTATATTACATTTACAGCATGGCTCACGAGGTTAATGTACTGAAGGGCATAAATTTGTGTAGTTCAACATATAGAAATCACTTAAGAAATATTTTAAATAAATAATGAATCAAGTTTTAGGTAAATTAGTGAGGTCAAGTAATATTAGCCAGTATTTTATTATGTAGAAAATGGTACAAAATTATAATCGAATGGAACCATCTAGAGTGTTTAATTATTGATAATGTATAAGGACTTTATTAGTTTGAGTGTGATATTATTTAAAATGTACTTCAATATAGACATTATAATTTATGGGTAAATAGACTAAAATGTCATCCATCGGAAATCTTCAGTGAACTAATCAAGTGATTTTCCTAAACTTTGCTTTAACTGCAAAGTAACTGAAGGAAAATTTCATCTATCAGAATCTACAAAATTGCTCTTCCCAGTGCTCCACAACCCCAGATAAAATGCAGGATGAATATTAAAACATCCGCACTAGAGTATGTATTATCCCCAAGGAGAAAAACACAGCATAAAATTTCTTCAAATTTTTGAAAAATTGTTTTATCTTCTTGTGGATCTGCTAATAAATTAATTAAAATATAAATACAAGTAAGAAACATGTTATAATTATCTCTGGATGATTTTATGAGAGTAATTGAAAGTCTAAATTAATCAACTCTAAACCAGCTAGAACCAATAAAAGGTCTCTGCCAGTTAGCCTGGAGGGAATAAAAATATAAAGTAAACATATCTGCTATATACCATTACTGACTTAGAAAATATTAAAAATGTTTTATTAAAAAAATTTAGTGGCAAAATATAAATAACTAGGGCTAACTTTATGGTATCTTCATGAATAAAACCAAGATATTTATTCCAAAATATGAAATACAAATTTACTAAGGAAATACTCACAATGTGCTCTTAGGGCCTAAATATTCCAGATATTTTAATTATGGTAAAAGTATTTTATATGTTGAGTTTACTTAATAATTATCTTAAAAGTAACAGAACATTTCAAAGCTTCTTTTGAAAATAATGAAGAATATTTGAAAAAAAATTAAAGGGAGAAATTAACCTGTTATATATTAGATAATATTATAAAGCTATAATAAGAAGTGTTATATTTGTACAGAATGTCTAGAGGCTCCATGAAATGCATGGTACAATGTATATCCACTATATTTAAATAAAGATGATATTACTTCTTCCTTGGTTCCATAATCTTGTGTCCCCTCCAAATTCCTGTATTGAAATCCACACCCTCCAAGTTGCTGGGAGGTGACAAGTTCAGGAAGGTGGAGCCTACCTGAAGAAAGTTGAGTTAGGGCGCTGGCTTGCCCTGTTCACCAGGTGAGGCACCAAGAGGGTGTCATCTGCGACTCAGGAAACAGGTCTCCCTCCAGCACCAAGTCTGCAGGTAATTTGATTTTGGACTTTTCGGTCTCCAGAATAACCATCATTTTGTTGTTTATACCTTACTGACTTTATGATACTTTGGTATACCAGCCCCAATGAACAAGGACAGCAGGAAACTAAAAAAATATATATCTGATCCGCAAAGCTAGGTACGTAATGATGTTTTAAAACTATTTTCATCTCAGTCTATTCTTCAAATAAGCATTAGGTCAAAGCTCAATATGTAAAGCCAGGAATGGAGGACCAGGATACCTGCTAATGGCTGGTATACCTTGGCGTTATCAGCACCAAATCCCCTCTTCCTGTCAGTTCTCAAGCTCTTCAAAACACCCAAGTGTCAGAAAAACACAGTAAAATGTTTTCTGGGCTAACAATGGGAGAAAGTTTCATCTGTCAATTGCCCATGACCATGGCACAGCAGAGGATTGAAATGTGCTTGCTTATTCTCTTGTGTGTTCCTGAATTTTGCAGAGAAAAGCACATTTCAGAGAGTGAGAATTACACCTATATACCTAGTTTGCTAAATTTAAATAAAACATAATAATGGGGTTTTCCATGGCTCAGAATTTCATCAGGTATACTTTTTTACATTTGTCCAATTAACATTGGATTTATTTACTTTTTAATTCTGTTAATCAGATGAAATGTGTTAATTCTCTATATATTGTTTGTAACATTTGTATTAAATTCCACTGACTGTTGGATATATATAGCTTTTCACCAAATTACATTTGCTAATATTTATCTAATGAGTTTTTTTTTTTTTGGTACCTATATCTGCGAGAGAAACTGGTCTGTCATTTTCAATTATATTACTTTCTCCATTACATGTTTTTATAAAGATTATTTCTCCTCATAAAATGAGTTGGAAAAGGTTATATTATTTTTTTCTCCTACAGTGTTTGTTGAGCATTTCTATGATTTTTCCTTAAATGTGTGCGGAAAAAAAAAAGCATCCACGAAACTTATGGGGTTTAGTTTTTTTTTTTTCTCTTTTTGTGTAAAATTTTGTAATGATATTTTTTAAAAATTTAAAAATTTAATAGATACCAGAATATTCATATTTTCTCTTTCTGCTTCTAAAAACTTCAAAAAGTGGTATTTTACTTAGTAATTTTTTTCATAGAGTTCAAGTTTTTTGCACAGTTTGTTCATCATGGTTTATTAATATTATTCTAATATTTATGAAACCTCAGTGATTTTTCCATCTGTATTACTGTTTTAAATAATTTTTTTTGTTTACACCTTTTTTAAATGAGTCTTGCTGGGAAATGAAAAAAATATTTTACTCTTATTGAATTTATTTATAATTCCATCGATTTATGTTTTATACATATTGTACCCATTCTATGATAAAATACCATGCATTTTTATTCTCTTATTCTTTGATGGGGCTTTAAAGCACCATTTTTTTTTCCTGGACTTCTTTTTTGTTAATAAATGCCTTATATACTACACATTTAGCTGTAAATATTGTATTTTCTACATCTTATTAGTTTTATATGCCATAAAGGCCATAGCTTCATTATATTTTAGTTCAAATTATTTTTCCATTTTAATTATGACATTATATTTTATATAATTTTTACCTAGAAGCCGCTTATTCAAATTCCAGACTTTGTTCTGAGTGAGGGGCCTATGCCTGTCCTATAATCCTGGCAACTTCTAAGGCTGAGTCTGAAGGCTGACACATGAGGCTTACACTTTGGAGGCCAGCCTCATCAATTTAGAATGACCTTCAGAAACTCAGTGAGAATCAGTCTCCAAATAAAAAGTAAAAAAGACTGATGATTGAGCTCAGTGGTAAAGCACCACAGGGTTCAATTCCCAGTACAGAGAAAAAGAAAAAAAAAAATCTAGACTTTAGGAATCTTCTAGCTACTTTTGAGTTATTAAATTCGACTTCAATCCCCTTGTGATCAGAGAAATAAATACTCTCAGTGTTTAAATTATTTGAAATTCATTGCAGCTTTCTTTAAAGAAATGTCAATTCAGTACATTTTAGAAATCATATAATCTCTGAATAGGGATAGCTATACTTCATCCTTTAAAATCTGAATGCTTTTTGAAATTTTTCCTACTTAACTGTTCTTGTAAGATTTCCTAACACTATATTGAATGAACATGATAAGAACAGCTGCCCCTTTCTTCTTTCTGATCTCAGGAATAAAGCATTGTGTTATATTATGAAGTACGATGCTAGCTAGGGTTGTTCATAGATATTCTTTATTGGGCTGAAAAAGTTCCTTTCTATTCCAAGTTTTTTGTTTTTTTTCACGATGATGTAAATTTTTCTCAAATCCTCATTGAGTTGCTTATGCTGTGTCTGTATTTATCCCACTATAATGTTGTCTTATATTAATTGTTTTCCAGGGGCTACACAAGCTGGTGTTCCTACAGTCATGGTGTGCAATTCTTCTTACATATTGTGAAGCTTAGTCTTAATGAATCTCTTAGCCTTGGCCAAGGGACATTGCATGTTTGCTAGGAAAATCCTTCACTCCTCTAGAAGTTCCCAAATCCACCTTAGCTTTCACTTCCTGCTTGCAAGGGCCTCAAGATCAAGCAGAAACCAGAGATCAGGGCTTCCAGGTTCTCTCCTGGATGTACGTATGTACACTGCCTCCTAAATGACC